AGGAGAGGGTGGCGACCTGGTTCAACCACTTCCAAAGCCTGCTGGGCACAACAGCGGATGGAGCTGAGGAAAGTATACCAGCATTCCTCCAGAACCTGCCAATCGACGATGGTCCCTTCACAGCCAGTGAGCTTGCCAGGGCGAAGTCCACATGAGAGAGAGGGCAAAAGTGCTGGGCCGGATGGCATACCCCCGGAGGTCTTAAAGAACTGTGATCTCGATGACCTAAAATGGTGGAATGAGCTCCCCATTGACATCAGGACAGCAGAAAGCTTACACATCTTCCGGCTCAGACTGAAAACTCATCTCTTTCGACTCCACTTTGAGCGATAGAATTACTAACCACTTATATACTAACTAGCCAGTTGAGTAGCACTTGAAATGTTTTGGCTCTATGAAACCTGATGTACTTATATGATTCTGTTTTCTTCTAGTTTGCATCTTCTTGGTCGAATGCACTTATTGTAAGTCGCTTTGGATAAAAGCGTCAGCTAAATGTAATGTAATGAGATGTAATGTGATGCTATGTAATTGTGATGTGAGTAATGTGATTGTGATGTGATTGTAATGTGATGCTATGTAATGTGATGTGATGTAATGTGATGTGATGTGATGTAATGTGATGTGATGTAATGTGATGTGATGTAATGTGATGTAATGTGATGTGATGTAATGTGATGTGATGTGATGTAATGTGATGTGATGTGATGTAATGGATGGGATGTAATGTGATGTGATGTAATGTGATGTGAATGTGATGTGATGTAATGTGATGTAATGTGATGTAATTGTGACGTGATGTAATGTGATGAATGTGATGCAATGTAATTGACGTGAGTGTAATGTGATGTGATGTAATGTGACGTGATGTAATGTGATGTAATGTAATGCTAATGTAATGTGATGTGATGTAATGTAATGTGATGTAATGTGATGTAATGTGACGTGATGTAATGTGATGTAATGTGATGCAATGTAATGTGACGTGATGTAATGTAATGTGATGTAATGTGATGTAATGTGACGTGATGTAATGTGATGTAATGTGATGCAATGTAATGTGACGTGATGTAATGTGATGTGATGTAATGTGACGTGATGTAATGTGATGTGATGTAATGTGACGTGATGTAATGTGATGTAATGTGATGTGATGTGATGTAATGTGATGTAATGTGATGTGATGTGATGTAATGTGATGTAATGTGATGTGATGTAATGTGATGTGATGTAATGTGACGTGATGTAATGTGATGTAATGTGATGTGATGTAATGTAATGAGATGTAATGTGATGCAATGTAATGTGACGTGATGTAATGTGATGCAATGTAATGTGACGTGATGTAATGTGATGTGATGTAATGTGACGTGATGTAATGTGATGTAATGTGATGTGATGTGATGTAATGTGATGTAATGTGATGTGATGTAATGTGATGTGATGTAATGTGACGTGATGTAATGTGATGTAATGTGATGTGATGTGATGTAATGTGATGTGATGTAATGTGATGTGATGTAATGTGATGTGATGTAATGTGACGTGATGTAATGCAATGTAATGTGACGTGATGTAATGTGATGTGATGTACCTGTAATGTGATGTGATGTAATGTGATGTGATATAATGTAATGCAATGTAATGTAATGTGATGTAATGTGATGTGATGTAATGTGATGTGATGTAATGTGATGTAATGTGATGTGATGTGATGTGATGTGATGTAATGTAATGTAATCTAATGTAATCTAATGTAATCTAATCTAATGTGATGTAATGTAATGTGATGTAATGTGATGTAATGTAATCTAATCTAATGTGATGTGATGTAATGTAATGTGACGTGATGTAATGTGATGTGATGTGATGTAATGTGATGTGATGTGATGTAATGTGATGTGATATAATGTGATGTAATGTAATGTGATGTGATGTAATGTGATGTAATGTGATGTAATGTAATGTAATCTAATGTGATGTGATGTGTAATGTAATGTAATCTAATGTAATGTGATGTGATGTAATGTAATCTAATGTAATCTAATCTAATGTGATGTAATGTGATGTAATGTGATGTAATGTAATCTAATCTAATGTGATGTGATGTAATGTAATGCAATGTGACGTGATGTAATGTGATGTGATGTGATGTAATGTAATGTGATGTGATATAATGTGATGTAATGTAATGTGATGTGATGTAATGTGATGTAATGTGATGTAATGTAATGTAATCTAATGTGATGTGATGTAATGTGATGTGATGTAATCTAATGTAATCTAATCTAATGTGATGTAATGTGATGTAATGTAATGTAATGTAATGTAATATAATGTGATGTAATGTGATGTAATGTGATGTAATGTGATGTAATGTAATGTGATGTAATGTGATGTAATGTGATCTAATGTAATCTAATCTAATGTGATGTAATGTGATGTAATGTGATGTGATGTGATGTAATGTAATGTAATCTAATGTGATGTAATGTGATGTAATGTGATGTAATGTAATCTAATGTAATCTAATCTAATGTGATGTAATGTGATGTAATGTGATGTAATGTAATGTAATATAATGTGATGTAATGTGATGTAATGTGATGTAATGTGATGTAATGTAATGTGATGTAATGTGATGTAATGTGATCTAATGTAATCTAATCTAATGTGATGTAATGTGATGTAATGTAATGTGATGTAATGTAATGTGATGTAATGTAATGTGATGTAATGTGATATAATGTGATGTAATGTGATGTAATGTAATGTGATGTGATATAATGTGATGTAATGTGATGTGATGTAATGTGATGTAATGTAATGTGATGTAATGTAATGTGATGTAATGTAATGTGATGTGATATAATGTGATGTAATGTGATGTGATGTAATGTAATGTAATGTAATGTAATGTGATGTAATGTAATGTGATATAATGTGATGTAATGTAATGTGATGTAATGTGATGTAATGTGATGTGATATAATGTGATGTAATGTGATGTAATGTAATGTGATGTGATATAATGTGATGTAATGTGATGTGATGTAATGTGATGTAATGTAATGTGATGTAATGTAATGTAATGTGATGTAATCTAATGTGATGTAATGTGATGTAATGTGATGTAATGTAATCTAATGTGATGTAATCTAATCTAATGTAATGTGATGTGATGTGATGTGATCTAATGTAATCTAATCTAATGTGATGTAATGTGATGTGATGTAATGTAATGCAATGTAATGTGACGTGATGTAATGTGATGTGATGTAATGTAATGTGATGTGATGTAATGTGATGTAATGTGATGTAATGTAATGTGATGTGATATAATGTGATGTAATGTGATGTGATGTAATGTGATGTAATGTAATGTGATGTAATGTAATGTAATGTGATGTAATCTAATGTGATGTAATGTGATGTAATGTGATGTAATGTAATCTAATCTAATGTGATGTAATCTAATCTAATGTAATGTGATGTGATGTGATGTGATCTAATGTAATCTAATCTAATGTGATGTAATGTGATGTGATGTGATGTAATGTAATGCAATGTAATGTGACGTGATGTAATGTGATGTGATGTAATGTAATGTGATGTGATATAATGTGATGTAATGTAATGTGATGTGATGTAATGTGATGTAATGTAATGTGATGTAATGTGATGTAATGTAATGTGATGTAATGTGATGTGATATAATGTGATGTAATGTAATGTGATGTAATGTGATGTAATGTAATGTGATGTAATGTGATGTAATCTAATGTGATGTGATGTGATGTAATGTGATGTGATGTAATGTGATGTGATCTAATGTAATCTAATCTAATGTGATGTAATGTGATGTGATGTAATCTAATGTAATGTAATGCAATGTGACGTGATGTGATGTAATGTGATGTGATATAATGTGATGTAATGTGATGTAATGTAATCTAATGTGATGTGATATAATGTGATGTGATGTAATCTAATGTGATGTAATGTGATCTAATCTAATCTAATGTGATGTAATGTAATGTGATGTAATGTAATCTAATGTGATGTGATCTAATGTAATCTAATCTAATGTGATGTAATGTGATGTGATGTAATGTGATGTAATGTAATGCAATGTAATGTGACGTGATGTAATGTGATGTAATGTGATGTGATATAATGTGATGTAATCTAATGTGATGTAATATGATGTGATGTAATGTAATCTAATGTGATGTAATGTAATATGATGTGATGTAATGTGATGTAATGTAATCTAATGTGATGTAATGTAATCTAATGTGATGTAATGTAATCTAATGTAATCTAATCTAATGTGATGTAATGTGATGTAATCTAATGTAATCTAATCTAATGTGATGTAATGTGATGTAATCTAATGTAATCTAATCTAATGTGATGACCTAGAAATACGAATATTTTTAAACATTATATTTTTCAAATGTATGTTTATATTGTTTAAAAAATGGTATTTGCCAATTTAAACTTTTTATTTATTTATCTGTTTATTTCCCATATTTAACAAGTAAATGATAGTCTGTGACGTCTCTGTCCTCCTCTGTCCTCCTCCGTCCTCCTCCGTCCTCCAGGGGGCAGCAGAGCCTCAAACAGGTGATGCTCAGGTACAATCAATACAATACATCAAACATAAATAATGTTTATTGGAAAAACAAAATACAAAATCATATTATTTCTCAGACTCTTTATAAATACAAAAACACATTTTAAATATTAAATCCTGAATGTGTTTCACTTTCCCTTTAAACTCACAGTCTGCAGAAAAAAGAGAATTAAAAAAACTGGAGAAAGAAAATCAGATTCAAGGAGAAATGATCCGTTTGTCTTCAGATGTGTTCCTGTCCTCATGTCCAGGTGTGTTCCTGTCCTCATGTCCAGGTGTGTTCCTGTCCTCATGTCCAGGTGTCTTCCTGTCCTCATGTCCAGGTGTCTTCCTGTCCTCATGTCCAGGTGCCTTCCTGTCCTCATGTCCCAGGTGCCTTCCTGTCCTCATGTCCAGGTGTCTTCCTGTCCTCATGTCCAGGTGTCTTCCTGTCCTCATGTCCAGGTGCCTTCCTGTCCTCATGTCCAGGTGCATTCCTGTCCTCATGTCCAGGTGTCTTCCTGTCCTCATGTCCAGGTGTCTTCCTGTCCTCATGTCCAGGTGCCTTCCTGTCCTCATGTCCAGGTGCATTCCTGTCCTCATGTCCAGGTGTATTCCTGTCCTCATGTCCAGGTGTATTCCTGTCCTCATGTCCAGGTGTATTCCTGTCCTCATGTCCAGGTGTATTCCTGTCCTCATGTCCAGGTGTATTCCTGTCCTCATGTCCAGGTGTATTCCTGTCCTCATGTCCAGGTGTATTCCTGTCCTCATGTCCAGGTGTTCCTGTCCTCATGTCCAGGTGTTCCTGTCCTCATGTCCAGGTGTATTCCTGTCCTCATGTCCAGGTGTTCCTGTCCTCATGTCCAGGTGTTCCTGTCCTCATGTCCAGGTGTATTCCTGTCCTCATGTCCAGGTGTATTCCTGTCCTCATGTCCAGGTGTTCCTGTCCTCATGTCCAGGTGTTCCTGTCCTCATGTCCAGGTGTGTTCCTGTCCTCATGTCCAGGTGTTCCTGTCCTCATGTCCAGGTGTATTCCTGTCCTCATGTCCAGGTTTATTCCTGTCCTCGTGTCCAGGTGTGGTGTGTCCTTGTCTTTATTTGCAGGTGTGTCCCTGTGTGTGTCCCTGTGTGTGTCCCTGTCCTATTTGCAGGTGTGCATGTCGTTCATGCTCTCGCAGCGGTGGCAGTGGACGTAGCAGCACCAGACGAACTTGCACTCGCAGCGCTGCACGAGTCTCACCAGGTGCGTGTTGTAGCCTCGCCCGCAGCACAGCAGGACGCAGCTGTCCGAGCCGGAGGACGTGCGGTTGCAGCGCCGGCCTCGAGTGCCTGCCACGCCGCGCCGCACGTCCTCCAGGCAGTAGTTGGGGGACTTGTTGATGAAGACGAGCTGCTGAGCGTCCACCGGGGGGCGCCGCTGCTCCTTCCTCCTCGATTTCTTCTTGGACCGGTCGGACACCTGGACGCTGCACTCGTACCGCTCCTTCAGGTAAACGCCGACGCGCTCGAACGGCGCTACCGTCTTCCAGCACGTCTTCACGGCGCAGGACCCCGAGACGCCGTGACAGCGACAGTGAGTCGACATCGTGCGGACGATCGCCTGACAGAAGAAGAAGAACCTGATCAGGTATATACATGCATTTACACTGTGGAAAGCACAGCATTCAAACTGTGGAGATGAACCATTTTCACAGTTGAAAATGCACGATAATATAATACAAGACATAAAAAACAACTATAATAAATGTGCAAAATAAACACCATTATACAGTCGAAACTGTACAAATGCATCATTTATACTGTGAATAATGATACTGGCAAAAATACATAACCTGTAGACATTTAAGCAGAGGAAATGCACCCTTAAACTCTAGAAAAGATGAAAGAATACCGTTAATGCTCTGGAAAACACCAGCCTACGATGTTTGACCTCTGCAGGTATAGAACCTGGTTGTTTGACCTCTGGAGGTATAGAACCTGGTTCCTTTGGTCTCACCTGCCGCCCCGCCTCACTGTTGTGCATGTAGGCGCTGCTCTGCGTGAATCCTCCTCTGACGCTCGTCGTGTTTCTGACGGTCCCGTCGATGAACCTGCGGCTGAACCAGATCCCGTACTGGATGTGGTCGGAGCAGCCGCCCCAGTGCCAGCCCTCCTGCGGAGACCCACCCCCCTGTGGAGACCCGCCCCCCTGCAGAGACACGCCCCCCTGTGGAAACCCGCCCCCCTGCAGAGACACGGCCCCCTGCGGAGCTCCGCCTCCTCTCAGCCGCGCGTCGCAGCCGCACTCCGTCATGTTGCCCTGACTGCAGGCCCGGGTCACGGCGTGGACCAGACCCGCCGCCAGAACCGCCTGCAGGAACGCCGTCTCTTTTGATCCTGCAGAGACACATCGTCAGATTCAGGTTCAGGTTCAGGAGGAAGAGGCAAAAACACTTCAATATCAAATCAAAGACTCGTCCATTCCAACGAATCCCAAGACAAGCCCAACCAGTTCCAAGTCAAATCCTGAGTCAAACCGTCCCAGAGTCAGGACCAACAAGTCCTGTGTCGAGACCAATAAGTTCGGTGTCGAGACATAAGTCCTGTGTCAATACCAACAAGTCCTGTGTCAATACCAACAAGTCCTGTGTCGAGACCAACAAGTCCTGTGTCGAGACCAACAAGTCCTGTGTCGAGACCAACAAGTCCTGTGTCGAGACCAACAAGTCCTGTGTCGATACCAATAAGTTCTGTGTCAAGACCAACAAGTCCTGTGTCAAGACCAACAAGTCCTGTCAAGACCAACAAGTCCTGTCAAGACCAACAAGTCCTGTGTCAATACCAACAAGTCCTGTGTCAAGACCAACAAGTCCTGTCAAGACCAACAAGTCCTGTGTCAATACCAACAAGTCCTGTGTCAATACCAACAAGTCCTGTGTCGAGACCAACAAGTCCTGTGTCGAGACCAACAAGTCCTGTGTCGAGACCAACAAGTTCTGTGTCAATACCAACAAGTCCTGTGTCAATACCAACAAGTCCTGTGTCAAGACCAATAAGTTCTGTGTCAATACCAACAAGTCCTGTGTCAATACCAACAAGTCCTGTGTCAAGACCAATAAGTTCTGTGTCAATACCAACAAGTCCTGTGTCAATACCAACAAGTCCTGTGTCAAGACCAACAATTCCTGTGTCAAGACCAACAAGTCCTGTCAAGACCAACAAGTCCTGTGTCGGTGTCGAGACCAACAAGTCCTGTGTCGAGACCAACAAGTCCTGTGTCAAGACCAACAAGTCCTGTCAAGACCAACAAGTCCTGTGTCAAGACCAACAAGTCCTGTGTCAAGACCAACAAGTCCTGTGTCAAGACCAACAAGTCCTGTCAAGACCAACAAGTCCTGTGTCGGTGTCGAGACCAACAAGTCCTGTGTCGAGACCAACAAGTCCTGTGTCAAGACCAACAAGTCCTGTCAAGACCAACAAGTCCTGTGTCAAGACCAACAAGTCCTGTGTCAAGACCAACAAGTCCTGTGTCAAGACCAACAAGTCCTGTCAAGACCAACAAGTCCAAAATCAAGAAAAACCAGTTCCAGGTAAGACCCGATAAGGTCCCAGTCAGACCAAAAAGTTCGGTCCAATGAGGCACAAGTCAAGTCAAACAAGTTACAAGTCAAGAACAAAAGCTCAGAGTTCAATTAGTCCTGGTTTAACTCTAACAAATTCCAAATGAATCTATATATCCGGTCCGGGTTAATATCAGGAAAAGGACACTTCAAGTCCTCTGAATGTCTCTCTACCTTTCTCACCAGAAGAACATGTTTAGAGATGTTTATTGTTGACTGATCTTTGTTTAGTTCTCTAAGCTCTGATCTACACAAACCATCTTTAATATATGTTTTAAACTCAGCAATCTCTCAGTAGAAAGTGCAGTGTTTTCCTCCTCCTGTCTGCAGATCAATGAACTCTCACATGCTTCTAATGTCCTGATTCAAAACATGTGATTGACCCAGTTAGGAGAAATATTCAGTACATCTCAACATCACATTAAAATGCTTCCATAACCCTGCCCCCCCGCTCTGTCACTCACATGAAGATAATCTGCCCGGCGACAGATATAATTAAAGCTCTGCAGTCATGAGACTCAGCATCTCCCCATTCAAAAGTCCCTCTGGAAAACCAGCATTTTAAATCCTCATCATTATATTTAAAAAACTCTCGAGTGCTACAAGTAACGAGTCTAACGAGTGCTTGATTAGTTTAGTACTTTGGTAAGTACGTCAGTAGTAAGTGAGTAAACACCTAAATAACAAGACAAAGGCTCAGCTGAGTGCAGGCGCAGGGCTTTAATAAGCTGAGTCTAGTCCAGAGTCAAGAAAAACAAGTCCCAAGTCAAATCCAGTTACCCATCCAGCTCCCACTCAAGTCCAGGTGAGGTCCAACCAGTTCAGAGTCAAATCAACGAGTTCAGAGTCAAATCAACGAGTTCAGAGTCAAGTCAACGAGTTCAGAGTCATTTCCTGAGTCAACAAGCTTGCATTCAATACCAACAAGTCCCAAGTCCATACGAACTCATTGACTCGAGTTTAGAGTCGAGTCAACAAGTTCAGAGTCAAACAAAGAAAGTGTTTTAGGATTAATTCTGGTAGACTAAAGACTCTCTCTTTTGTTAATGAGGTATGTGTTAATGAGGTATGTGATGTATGTGCTAATGAGGTATGTGTTAATGAGGTATGTGTTAATGAGGTATGTGAGGTATGTGCTAATGAGGTATGTGTTAATGAGGTATGTGTTAATGAGGTATGTGTAGGTATGTGCTAATGAGGTATGTGTTAATGAGGTAGTGATGTATGTGCTAATGAGGTATGTGTAATGAGGTATGTGTTAATGAGGGTATGTGATGCTATGTGCTAATGAGGTATGTGCTAATGAGGTATGTGTTTAATGAGGTATGGTGAGGTCTGTGCTATGAGGTATGTGTAATGAGGTATGTGTTAATGAGGTATGTGAGGTATGTGTTAATGAGGTATGTGTTAATGAGGTATGTGAGGTATGTGTTAATGAGGTATGTGTTAATGAGGTATGTGAGGTATGTTTTAATGGATATGTGTTAGTGAGGTATGTGTTAATGGAGTATGTGAGGTATGTGTTAATGAAGTATGTGAGGTATGTGTTAATGAGGTATGTGAGGTATGTTTTAATGGAGTATTTGTTAATGAGGTATGTGAGGTATGTGTTAATGATGTATGTTTTAATGGAGTATGTGAGGTATGTGTTAATGAGGTATGTTTTAATGGAGTATGTAAGGTATGTGTTAATGAGGTATGTGTTAATGAGGTGTTTTAATGGAGTATGTGAGGTATGTGTTAATGAAGTATGTGTGTTAATGAGGTATGTGTTAATGAGGTGTTTTAATGGAGTATGTGAGGTATCTGTTAATGAGGTATGTGTTAATGAGGTATGTGAGGTATGTGTTAATGAGGTATGTGTTCATGAGGTATGTTTTAATGGAGTATGTGAGGTATGTGTTAATGAGGTATGTGTTCATGATGTATGTGTTAATGGGGTACGTGTTAATGAGGTATGTTTTAATGGAGTATGTGAGGTATGTGTTAATGAGGTATGTGTTAATGACGTATGTGTTAATGAGGTATGTGTTAACGAGGTATGCAGCCCCGCCCCCTCACCGCTGGTCATCTCGTGCCCAAACACCGGGGGCTCTTTGCGGACGGAGCAGTTCCAGCGCTCGTGTCTGAACTGGCTCTGGCACTCTGAGACGGCGAGTCGGGCTCCTTCCTGAACGCTGGGCATGAGGAGCGGCTGCTTCCTGCAGAGGTCCCGCTGCCGGGGGCTCAGCGGGGGGGCAGAGCAGCTAGGCCTCTCCGGAGAACCCAGGGAGGAGACACCCAGAGACCTGGAGGAACCCAAACACATCAGAATACTGAAGGAACCCAAACACTTCTCAGTTATTATGCTCCAAACATCTGGAACAAACTCCCAGAAACCTGCAGGTCCTTTTAAATCCAGGCTGAAGACTTTCCTTTTTGTCGCTGCTTTTAATTGAAATATTCACATCTTAAACTGTTTCACACCTTCCCCCCCGTACCGGGCGGATAAAACGCGTCATTTGCAGGAACAACGTCTAAGGAATCTTAATATTGAATAAAACTATGAATGTGTTATATCCATGTAACGGGAAGAAACTCAGCTAACTGATCTTTTTAATTTTTTTTTTCAAAAAAAACCCACAATGCTAGCACTCAGCCTCTGAATTAGCCTCGATCGAAAAAACGTAACCTACAAAGGCACTTAAACTCACTCATAACTCCCTTATTACTTATCCTAGATGCACAGCCAACCACTCGTTTTTGGTGTCCTGGAGACACTGAATCTAACGGTGCCCACCTCAACACTCAGTGATAAACATTCGCGACGCTATAAACGAAAGCGTACATCATCACATGTGGAGCTAAGAAGCTAAACACGTAAATATGGCTTACCTTGGTCAAAAGTGGTCTTCAATGGCATTAAAACGATAAAAAAACGATGCTGCAGTTAATCCATAGGTTCATCCTATGTGTCTGTGCCTTCTTTGAAATTATTTCTGATAATCCATAAGCAATACAACTGCGTTTTAGTTTCCAAACTCCAGAAGGAGACATTCCTCCACTTTGGTTTCGTTTTCCACACGCGAAGCGCCCACATTTTTTCTTTACAACGTGTGTGGGTGTGGGCCTCCCCCTTCGATTCTATTGGCTCTAACGGTCACAAGGGTATGTCAACCAACCAAATCGAGCAAGGGGGGCCAGAGATAGGTCAAATCCACCCAAATGACCCCAGATGGCCCAGTTTTTGGCTAAATCTCTCTAAAAAGGTCAAATTTCACTTGTTTTGCATCAATCTTGATACAGGGTACTTATTATATGTTGTACTTTGGATTCCTAAAGCTTTTAGTCTACTAACCCATCATCCAAGGGTAGTTTTCACTATCTGTAAAAAATAATTTTTGGACGGACACTATAATTTACAGTTTTTTACTATGTAAAATCTGAATTTTCTTTAAAATAAAAAACATCTATATTGATTCTGACACTTCTACATCCAACTCACAGGTTTATCATTACTTTGAGAAAAGATTATTAATTTAACCCTTTTAGAAGGGAAGATATGGTCATTTGTTCTGGGAATGTCATTTTCGAGCCTGAGACCTGAGAAACAGGCTCAGAGTGGAACAGGTTAAAATCCACTGTAACTTTTATTCATGTATTTTTTCTTTTAATGTTTATTTGATTATCTTTGCTTTTTAATGACTGTTTTTGAATGCCATTTTCTTAATGTCTTTCATTGTTGTAAACGTCTTTGAATTGCCTTGTGTTGAAAGGTGCTATATAAACTTGCCTCTAAACGAAGAACAATCACTTTAAGGATTATATGGAGGGAGAAATATCTCTAAATTAAAGCATGAAATAATAAATGATCAGAATATTAGGCATTATAAGACAGATTTCAAATCACTTTAAAATTCAGCATTTATATCAGAATTACATGTTATATTAAAGTGATTTGAACGTACATTCATAATTTTTAATGATTATATGGAGGACGAAAAATCTAAATAATAAACAAATGCAGAAAAAAAGAAATATAGAAATAAAGAAATGTGTTTTAAACCCATTCTGAAATACAGAAATGTGTTTTAACCCATTCTGAAATACAGAAATGTGTTTTAAAAATAACCCATTCTGAAATACAGAAATGTGTTTTAAACCCAGTCTGAAATACAGAAATGTGTTTTAACCCATTCTGAAATACAGAAATGTGTTTTAACCCATTCTGAAATACAGAAATGTGTTTTAACCCATTCTGAAATACAGAAATGTGTTTTAACCCATTCTGAAATACAGAAATGTGTTTTAACCCATTCTGAAATACAGAAATGTGTTTTAACCCATTCTGAAATACAGAAATAAATGTATAAATACAAATAAAAATATTAAATAATGAAAAAGGACATTTATAATAATCTTAAATCCAATTCTACATTTTTGTATGATAATGAAATAAGAGATCCTTTAATTCAGCAGTTATTTATTTATAGATGTATTTGTTAATTGATATTTAAAACTGTTTTGTCCTCCATAAATTATAAGATCAAGAGAGATTTTAATAAATGATTTTATTTTACAGAAGAAAAGGGAGATTTTCGCTGCTTTTTCTACATCTAGACCACATTAGACCAGGTCCTGATCTAAAACCACTAGACCTAGACTCATCAAATCTGGACTGGATTATCCCAGAGAGGCTCAACATTCTTTATAACACCGTTTGAGATTTGTGAAACCTTTATTCTATTTGTGAAAATACAATGTATTCAAAAATACATTGTTAGAACTTCTAAAAAGTACTCTTACTCAAACCACTAAAATAATGTAAATGAAGCAAAAGGCTCCTGAAATGCTTTCACATGTACCCACCAGTGTGACGCTGCCTTGCTGGGGTCCCAGTATCTTTAAACTGCTTGGGATGACGGCTACTAATGAGCACTGCACATGATATATATATTTGCAGTGGCGTTTTTATATGTACAAAAGTGGTGGGGCACAAAAAACGTAGATGTCTATATATAAGCTTCTGCAGTGACGTGCAGTGAGGTTCATGGCTGCTGAGGCACTGGCACTGACTCTTCAGGTTTACAAATATTATATTTTGACCTAAACCAAAATATAATATTATTTTCAAAAGCTTTTTTTGTCTGATGCTTCGATTAATTTTAAACAGACAGTTCAACAAAAGGATACCCAAAAAATGTCATTTTATCATTTAAATATTGAATTGTTCTCTCTTAGTAAGACCGCCATTTTCAATCAAATGGCGGTCTTACCTTGACTTGAAGATGAAGTCCATTTTCCTATCCTTCTGGACAAACATTTCTATATCTTTTTTGTAAAAGTCCTCCTTATCTTCTTGTAGTTTCAAAAGTCTATCATAAATCTAATCCATAGATTTATGATAAAAAAATTATATAAGTAGGGTAGACATGTGGATGTTATCCGGCTGAACAAAACTTGCATTTATCTAACAGGTACGTTTCCCACAGATCTTATTTACAGCTATTTTCTAAAATCCTCTGGAGAAATCTCATTGCTTTTTTGTGCTTACTTCCTGGTTTTAGGACGCGTCACTGCAGCTCTCTCGTCTCCTCTTCACCACACTTTTCGCGGCACACGTACTTACAGCCAATCAGCTCTGAATGATGTGAGATGATGTATGGTGGGGATGGCAGCTCAGTGCCCCTCTGGTGTTTTTTTTTTTGCCACAAACATTACATTGAAAAATACTCTGAGCATGCGCAGTGTAGTTTTTACAGTCACCGTTCACTTCACAGCGAGAGGAAGGGGCATGATCAGGTTTTGTCCCACATGGCTCAAAACGGCACTGTAGACACTAATTAGAAGAACACAGACTAAAACAGCAATGCACAGACGAATCAGATGATTAAACATGACTTTAAAATATATTTTATATTTTTTTTTATATCTTTTTTTGCATCTCTTTCCATTTTTTGTAATCATTATGTGTAATACTTTCTGCTGACACTAGGTGGGGCTGTGCCCCTGCTCTGTGTATCCGAACCTGCCCCTAATGACCAGTCGCCACTGTATATTTGGAATGCTTTATTGATTGAAGTGGGGGCTGCATTTTGAATTCTTAAACAAGTTATGCTTGTCAGACTGTGGCATGACCTTTGCAACACAAATATAATAAAGTGAGCATGTTTAGCAAGTTTTGATATTGTTGCTGCTGTTTATACTTTTTTTGACATAGAAAAACTATGATTACTAATGTACATATAGCTTTACACTGGTATGATCTGGAACTGTGACCGGCTCTGAAAGACTCCAATCCACTTCTGCACTTATAAAGGGAAACAATGGCCTTAATGAGTCCAACTGGTCACAAAAAACAAACATTTTTAGATGTGTAGGGTTTTAGATCAGGACCTGGTCTAATGTGGTCTAGATGCGAAAAAAGCACTGAAATCTCCCTTTTTTAAATTTTCACAAATAGAATTAAGGTTTCACAAATCTCAAACTGTGTTATAAAGAATGTTTAGACTCTCTGGGATAATCCAGTCCAAATAAATCGTCTATGCAGCGATTTAAGAGGTTCACACACGGAGGAGTGTTCGCTCAGCGCTGTAAATTAAATGTCCCTTAACTTTCCCCTTAACTGCCGAATCGGAAGCTCTGAATCGGAAGCCAACTTCAGCGTCGTCCAAGGTCATTGTATTTCATAAAGAGACAGTTATTTATTTCTGCAAATTAAAAGAGTTTTGGGCTTTTTATTTCTTTATTTCACCGCTGAATAAAACTGTTATTCATATGAAAAGTTGGTATATTATTTATGAGGTTTATTAACCCGAATTAAGGGATAAGATCATTCTAAATATGGAGTTAAATAAGATGAGATGGATGTTTATTTATCACCGTGGGGTTTGGTTTCATTCCCGCTGATAATGACCACAATAATCAGGTCATTAATACACAGACACTTTTAGTCCTGCTATTAAAAGACCCGTTTGGTTTTCATTTAAAGAAGTGTGTATTTAATTACACATTATTACATCTCACTGATATCACATTTTATTCATTATTATTTATGAGCTTTATTAACACGAATAACGGGATGAAATCAGTCTAAAGAGGAAGATAACAATAAGAGGAGTGTTTACCGAGAGGAAAACACGGAGTTAAATCCCGGAGTTTTGGGGAGAAAAGTCCTTATTTATCTATATTTTAATGACATGTTAAATGTTATTGTGGTTCGTATTAAGGGCCTGTAGTGGAGAGAGCCGCTTTCGGGACTATCGGGTCTGCGTGAATCCATCTGTCCGTCGGGAAGCGGTTATTCAAATATTAAGATATTACAAAACAGCTGATTTTACCCCCCGCTGTTTCCCTCTGTGTTTTAATGAGAGGAAATACTGTTAATGGTTTTAGGAGCTCGCGGATCTAAAGCACGCGTGTCAAACTCAAGGCCCGGGGGCCAAATCAGGCCCGTGGTGGATTTAATTTCGGCCCGCAGGATAATTTCTAATTACTATTAGATCACACCTTCACTCCATCCTGAGGGTCTCCTCAGCTCAGAGCCTGAGCCCAAACATTGATGACCTTGCACCCGAGATGAGATGCCAAGTGTCTGAGCTAGCATCACAGAGCAGCACACTGAGTTCACATGTTTCCTTCTGCACTTTGAGGGGAATAGTTTTCTTGAAGCTGTTGTTGGCCTGTGGGAAAATGTACTCATAAGAAATGACTCAGAAAAGCCATGAGAAATGAATGCAACTGATTATTTAATGTTTCATGTTGTTTTTAGAGGGCAATAATTTAAGCTTAGTTAGTTCCAGGTTTAATATGTGCAATAAGTTCATTTCAACAAGTTCTGCAATAAACATAGAACCAGTCCGGACCCCCACTGGCACCGGTTTCTTAATGTTGGCCCACTGTGCATTAGAGTTTGACCCCCCTGGTCTAAAGGTTCTCTAAAGGTTCTCTAAAGGTTCTCTAAAGGGTTCGGTTTGGATCTCTGGAGGTAAAAGCAGATCAGAAACACAACGCGATGAATACACTTTAAATAAAAGGGAGATTTTTAAAGTGTATCCAACAACAAACAAACGGAGCGATTTGATTGAAGTAAATGCCACTAAAAGAAGAAGTGGGTTAAAAATACCTCTTTATTCTGTTTGTCTTCTACCGGGAGAAATACCTCTTTATTCTGTTTGTCTTCTACCGGGAGAAATACCTCTTTATTCTGTTTGTCTTCTACCGGGAGAAATACCTCTTTATTCTGTTTGTCTTCTACCGGGAGAAATACCTCTTTATTCTGTTTGTCTTCTACCGGGAGGAGCAATAACCCTCTTTATTCTGGTTTGATCTCTTCTTAACCGGGAGGAAATACCCTCTTATTCAGGTGTGTCTTCTAACCGGAGAAATACCTCTTTATTCAGGTTGTCTTCTAAACCGGGAGAAATACCTCTTTATTCAGGTTGTCTTCTACCGGGAGAAATACCTCTTTATTCAGGTTGTCTTCTACCGGGAGAAATACACTCTTATTACAGGTTGTCTTCTAACCGGGAGAAATACCTCTTTATTCAGGTTGTCTTCTACCGGGAGAAATACCTCTTTATTCTGTTTGTCTTCTACCGGGAGAAATACCTCTTTATTCAGGTTGTCTTCTACCGGGAGAAATACCTCTTTATTCAGGTTGTCTTCTACCGGGAGAAATACCTCTTTATTCTGTTTGTCTTCTACCGGGAGAAATACCTCTTTATTCTGTTTGTCTTCTACCGGGAGAAATACCTCTTTATTCAGGTTGTCTTCTACCGGGAGAAATACCTCTTTATTCTGTTTGTCTTCTACCGGGAGAAATACCTCTTTATTCAAGTTGTCTTCTACCGGGAGAAATACTGAGTAAAGAGGTCAATCACGTGAGAATGCGACGTAATGAAAAGTGGAACGAACTGCATTAAGATCGGACACAACTCCATTAGAGAATAATAATACATGTCAGATTTGAGACTTTATTCAGGCGGTTTTAAAAATCAAACAAACGGAACGATTTTCTTAAATAAATGCCACTAAACAAACAGGCTGGTTTTAAACTGAATTAGGATGTGAACCACGTGACAATGCGACGTGATGAAACAGAACAGAATCCATGAAGGAACCGCAGATTCGGGCCGGGTCGCTGTGATACTCACACCCAGGAGGCGGTGCAGCCCGGCGGACTCACGGAGGCCAGCAGCAGGGTCCAGAGGATCCGGGTCCAGAGGATCCGGGTCCAGGCGATCCGGGTCCAGGGGATCCGGGTCCAGGGGATCTGGGTCCAGGTGATCCGGGTCAGGGTCCA